TTCCTTTCGACCTCCCTTCGCCGTCTTCTCCTTAGCCAGCCCCGTCTTCCTCCGGGGCGGCTATGCCTTTAAGTCCGGCCCCACTAACAACAGTGGCGGCCTTGCCCGACGGCCGAAAGGTGGTTTCGAGTCGATAGCTCCACCGGCGGATACTCCGTCGCTAATATCAGCGACGGACCTGGAGATGGCCCGCTACATTCTGGGTCCTTCGGCCATCGTTCTTCAGCTGGAAAACCGGCCCATCTTTGACCCGCCGGAGGGTTACGTCGGCGTTCTCTTGCACTCAGTGGCCTTTGGCTTTCGAGTGCCACCTCACCCCTTTCTTTCTCTCTTCTTTCGTTATTATAACCTGGTTCCGGGCCAACTCGTGGCCAATTCCCATCGTCTCCTTGTCTGCTTTATAGTTCTTTTTCGCGGGTGGCTCTGTGAGCCCGACATCAAAATATTCTGGTGTTCGTTCACCGTGAACAAAGTCGTCCCTCATTCCAAGGGTTTTGTCCAAGTCTCCGCCCGACCCAGGCGTCTTCTTTTCGAGGGTCTTCCTGATTCCGTGATGGATTGGAAACCCTATTTCTTCTTTGTTCGTCCTTCTGTTTCCCCTTTCACCTTCCCCACCATGTGGTCGGCTTCTCTCTTCAAGCCTTGCTCCCGACAAACTGCCTTCACCCCGGACGCGGCCCGGGGTGCCAAGTTTTTGAAGAGCATGGGACCCTACTTCGCCAAGCGTTGGTCGCGACTGCGGGCGATGGCGAAATGGGGTCTTCTGCCTACTGGGGCAACCACCACAGGTAGCTTTCTACTAAACATTTTCCTCTTGTTCTTCTTCTCGGCCGAATGACTAGCCTTTCTCTTCGTCTGTGCAGGTCTCGACGATTCCGCGTCCACTTCTTCGGAGGAAGCTGAAGTTCCGACCGATGCCATGGTCCACCGTGCGGAAAAAATGAGGCGCTGACTGACGCAGCGCTCGACCGGAACTCCGTCGGCCTCCTCCTCGCTCCCTCTCTCAGCGCCTCGTGCGACTCCACCCAGAAACATGGTGGATTTGGCAACCTCCCCGGTAGCTTCTCCTTCCCGACTCCTGCCTCCGGCCCCAACTGGGAGCCCAAGCTCTAAGCGTCCACTGGAGCAACCGGACGTGCCTCCACCCAAGAAGATCCGGATAAGCTTGGAACTTGATGAGGACGCCCAGATATGGCAGGGTGACTATTCGGGCCAGAACTGGGTCGTGCACGTGCTCCTCCCGAAGGACTTGGAGGCGGCGAGCAAGATGCAAGACGAGTACGTCTTGGAGGCTTCTCTGCGTCAATCTTACCGGGTGAGTCTTCGATCCTTTTTATTCTTGACTTCCTCTTTCTTCTTTTGTCTTTTCTAACGCGATTCTTTTCCCAGAACCTCGCTTTCCAACTGGAGATGAGGAAGCGAATGCGAGCCCTCAAAGTTAGGATACCCGGCCTCAACGTCCGCCTGCGCTAATCGAATGAAGCTCTCCAAGAGGAGCAGGCAGCTTCCGCCAAGGAAAGGGAGATCTACACGGTCGAGCTTCTGAGGGTGACTCGCCTTTGGAAAAGGAGCGGGACAAGGCCGTTGCTGCAGTTGCCGAGTATAAGGGGTCGGCCGCTTTTGGCGTGGACGTGAAGTCGGAGATAACAGGTCGTTAGGAGGAGCTGGCGAAAGAATGGCTGGCGACTCCGGAAGGTGATGATTATCTGCTCGACCTCGGCGAACGAGACTTCCGCCTGGGCTACCGCGAGGCACAATTGGAGATGTATGCCCTCCTACTAGCCCGCAACCCCTCTTTCACTCCTGAGGGCTGGGGCCTCAAGCTGGTGCTCGAGTTGCTACCAGCGCCTGGAGCCGCGATCGCAACTGTTTCTCCCTCTCCTCCAGTCTTACCGGCGGTGGACTTGTCTGTGCCTACTGATGTGCCTCCACAAGCAGAAGACCCTTCGCCCGTCCCTCCAGCTGGACCATCGGCAGAGGAACAGTTAGAGGGAGTTGAAGCCGCAGCACCTCCTTCCGTAGCTTAGGCCTTTGTAATTTTGTCTTTTTTGTTATGGCTGGTCCTCCCTTTGGACCTTTATTAATGATAACATTTCCTTCGACCTTTTCATTCCTTTGTTTTATGCATTGTTTTTCCCGATTTGCGTAGTCTTTTTTAACCTCCGAGCCTTGGAGCTTTTCTCGCTGAGTTCCTTAGTCGAGGCGACTCCGTGTGCTTCTCATTTTTTGATAAATACCTGATGATGGGTGTCCTTGCGCTTTTACTTTTTCTTTCTATTCTCGCCGAGTCCCTCACTCGAGGCGACCCCTGTAGGATTTCTCTAAGAAACGTTCAAGGGTCAGTGCCCTTGTTTCCTTCTTCTCTTGCCGAGTCCCTCAGTCGAGGCGACCCATTAGGCTTTTCCTATCTCAGAAACAGTTTAGGGTCAGTGCCCCGTCGTTTCTCTCTTTTCTTCCCGAGTCCCTCAGTCGAGGCGACCCCTGTAGGATTTTCCTAAGAAACGTCTAAGGGTCAGTGCCCTTGTTTCCTTCTTTTCTTACCGAGTCCCTCAGTCGGGGCGACCCATTAGGCTTTTTCTATCTCAGAAACAGTTTAGGGTCAGTGCCCCGGGATACGAGAAAATGTCAAATATTTATTCAAAGCCACCTCTAGACGAGTACACGAGGCTAACCTTTTACTAATAGTACTTTTTAAGTGAACCACGTTCCAGAGTCAATCGATAAGCTCTACTTCCAGGGTCTCCAATTTGTAAGTGCCTGCTTGGACCACAACGGCTATCAGGTAGGGTCCTTCCTATTTGACCGCGAACTTCCCTCCTTTCGTGGGTTGGCTAGCTTGTCGATCGCGCAAAACAAGGTCTCCTACTTGGAAAGCCCATGGTCGGATCCGCCTGTCCCGATACTTCTTGACAGCCTGCTGGTATTCCACTATGCGAGCGTGCACAGATTCCCTTCGTTCTTCCAAGAAATTCTTCTCGATCCTTACGCTTTCCTCGTTTCCTTCATCGGTATATTGGAGGACCCTATGGGTGGGCTCGACGACCTCTATAGGCACTTTTGCTTTGAAGCCGTATGCTAAAGAGAATGGGCTTTCACCGGTTGCTCGCCTTTGAGTAGTTCGATATGCCCACAGGACCCGGTCCAACTCGTCGGCCCAATTTCCTCCCACGTCTTCTATCTTCTTGCGAATACCGTCCATGATTGTGCGGTTCACGTTCTCGACCTGCCTGTTGGTTTGAGGATAGGCAACTGCTACTTTGGTGTGCCGAATGCTGTGTCAACAACAGAAATCCGCGAAGGGTTGACAATCAAACTGCCGTCCATTGTCGCTGACAAGGTGCTCGGGCAATCCAAAACAACAAATTACTTTCTTCCACAAGAAACGCCGACACTGATACTGGTAATGGTTACGAGAGGCACTGCCTCCATCCATTTGGTGAAGTAATCAATGGCCACCACGTAGAATCGAAAACGTCCCGGGGCGACTGCAGAGGGCCCAGCAGGTCGATTCCCCACTTAGCAAACGGAATGGCAGTGACGACTTGGGTGTAGAAGGTAGCTGTCTGGGAGTCCTTCCGAGCTAACGCCTGGCATATGGGGTACTTGGCTATCTAGTCGACACAATCTCTCATCATGGTAGGCTAGTAATATCCTTGGACGACTAACTTCCGTGCCAGGGTGTAAGCACCCTGATGAGCCGCACATATCCCCCGATGGGCGTCGTCCATTATTTTTTCCGCCTCTGGTCGGAGCAGGCATTTGAGAAGGGGGCCTCCGAATGATCTCTTGTACAGTTTCCCATCCACGACCTCAAAGGAGGGGGCTTTTCTATGGACTTAGGCGGCAACCGTGAGGTCGTCGGGCAATTTTCCTTCTTCCTTGTAACATAGTATGTCTTCGATCCAGAACATCTCGGGGTTTTTGTCATGGTCCCACTCCAGGGTTCTAACTTGTCGAATTTCTTCACCCGCCTCCTCGATGTTAGGCCGAGGCAGGTCTTCTTTCTGGTAGATCCTTAAAAGATGGTCGGGTACCCCTTCCAGGGCGATTTTCGACAAGATGTTGACTTCCATGTTGTCGGATCGGGAGATGCGTTCGATCTCATGGGCGACGAACCCCTTTAGTAACTCCACCGTTTTTTCCTTGTATTTTACCAGTCGGTCGCTCCTAGCTTCACAAGTTCCGGACACTTGTCCCACCACAAGGCGCGAGTCCGTCTTAATACGCAAGCGGTCGACCCCTAAGACCATAGCGAGTCTGATGCTTCCTAGCACCGCTTCATACTCTGCTTCCTGTTGGATGTTTGGAACTGATAGCTTAAAGCGTAATATAACCGAAATCCCTCCGGTGTGATCAACATGACTCCTCCGCCACAATGCTGGCTACTCGCCGCCCCATCGGCATGTAACTCCCACCATTCTCCAAAATCTTCCTTCGAGGTTGGGACTCCGTTGACTTCTCCTACCGTACATTCGCCAACGCCTGCCCTTTGATCGAGGGGCGAGGTTGCTACTCGATCCCATACTGGGTTAGCTCTACAGCCCAATTGACTAATCGCCCTGAGGACGTGGGATTTCTCAGCACGCTTCCCAAGGGCAAGTCGGTCAAGACTCGGACGGTATGTGCTTGGAAGTAAGGTGCCAACTTCCGTACCGTTACCACCAATGCGTATACCACCTTCTCTAGTGGCGTATAGCGAATCTCAGCGGGCTTCAGGGACCGGCTTACGTAGTAAACCGGGTGCTGGACCCGTTCTTCTTCTCGGACGAGCACTAAACTAACCGCCCTGGACGATGCTGCCAGGTACAGGTACAAGGGTTCGCCAACCTGAGGAGTAGATAACACAGAAGGTGTAGAAAGGTACCTTTTCAGCTCTTCGAAGGATTCCTGGCACTCTGTTGTCCACGTGAAACCTTCTTTCTTTTTCATGGCCTCGAAGAAAGGCACTGTTTTGTCCGCTGATAGCTTGGACCTTCTCAGGATTCGGCTCGATACCTTTGTTACATGTATCCCAAAAATTTTCCTCCTTGGACGGCAAAGGCGCACTTTATGGGATTAAGCCGTAGATTGTACTTAAGCATTACTTGAAAGCACTCGGCCAAGTTTTGAGCATGATCTGACACTTCCGGACTCTTGACTAGCATGTCGTCGACGTATGCCGCCATAGACTTCCCCAGCAGACCCTGGAACAGCTGAGCGACCATTCGGGTGTAGGTAGCCCCTGCGTTCTTGAGCCCGAATGGCATCACCTGGTAGCAGTATACCCCGTCCGAGGTGATGAAGGCTGTCTTCTCCTCGTCAGCTTTGTGCATGTATATCTGGTGGTAACCTCGGAAGGCATCCATAAAACTCAACAGGGCCGACCCCGCGGTCTTGTCGACAAGCTGATCGATTCGGGGTAGAGGAAAGGGATCCTTCGGACATGCCTTGTTGAGGTCGGTGTAATCTACACACATCCTCCAGGCCGGTGGTTTTGGCACCAGCACCAGGTTGGGAAACCAATCTGGATACTTTACTTCTCGGATGTGGCCAGCAGCTAAGAGCGTGCTGACTTCCTTCTTCACGAATTCTCTTCGATCGTTAGCCAGGTATCGCTTTTTCTGGATCACGGGTCGGTGGCTGGGGTCTACTACGAGTCGGTGAGAGATGATGGAGCGGTCGACTCCCGGCATGTCTTCCGGCCCCCAGGCGAAGACTAGGTGATTCTCTCGGAGCACGCGTATGACTTCCGTTCGTACCTCCTCCTTAAGGCCAACCCGATCTTCACCCGCCTTTCCGGTCGGGCTGGATCAATCTCTATTTCCTCCAATTCCACGGCCGGTTCAGGACGGAGAGGCATTGTCTTCTTCGTGGTTCGCTCAGTGATTTCGTGCACTCTCATTTCTCGCTTTCCAATTCCTAGGCAAGCCTGCGAATAACATTCGCGAGCGACTCTTTGGTCACAACGCGCTACGCTTACTCCAGTCGGCGTGCGGAACTTCATACACAAATGCTCAACGGAGATCAACGCTCCCAAGTCCTCCAGGCCAGGTCGTCCAAGAATCGCGTTATGGGAACAAGTTAAATCAACCACGATAAACTTCATATCCAACTTTTGTACGTTGGGATAACTGCCCACCTCGACCGGCATGGTGATGGACCCCTCGGCCTCTATGGAGTCTCCCGTGAAGCCGGCTAGGGGCGTCTTTACCGGGGTCAGCCGTTCCTGTGTTAGGCCCATCTTGACGAAGGTCTCAAAGTACAAGATGTTAACGCTACCCCCGGTGTCCACCAGGATTCGTCGAACGACTACCCCGTTTACATCTATCACAATCACCAAGGCGTCGCGATGCGGTATCTGACCAAGCGGCAAATCCTTGTTCGTGAAGGTTATGGGCTCCCTGCATGTTTTTTTTGGGCTATCTTCGCGCCCATACACCGTCCCCACGTATAATTGCTTGGCCCAAATCTTGCGAGTGTTAGAGGAGTCTCCTCCTTCAGGCCCGCCTACTATCATATTAATGACTGGCTTCTATCTCCATTGAGCCTCGTCTTCCTCGGAGGCTGGCTGCTTGCCACGACTCGCTTCAGCCGACCCCGAGGGGTTGCCATCTTCCCTGGCCTGAGATGTAGATTTTCGGCGCCATTGGTTAAGGGGCGATGTACCTTTTTGGATGATTCCTTCCATAATCTTCTTTAGGTAGTAACAGACTTCTGTGTTGTGGGTGTAAGTCTTGTGGTAGCGACAGTACTTGGCCGGCTTACTTGAGTCAGCAGTCGCCGTGGGCTCACTAGCGGAGGCGGCGGGGGTGGTGCTACCGCTTGTACCTCATGCACCGGGTGCTGGGGGGTCGGTCGTTGGGTACTGTCCTGTCGCCAGGTCGGATCCTGATGCCTCTCCTTTGCGTCTGCTTTGGTTCGTTTTCCCCCGGAGGCCCCTCCGACCTCACGCTGTCGCTTGTACTTCATCGCCTGCTTAGTGTTAGGTCGCTTGTTTGCCATGTGAATGGCTTCTGCGTACGTGGCTAGCCGGTTATCCCATAAGTCTCGTTACAACTGACCGGATCGGAGTGACTCGATAAAAAATGTCAGGGCGGTCTGGTCATCGACTTCTTCAATGGACTGTATTTCCTTTTGCCATCGAGCCAGGTACGTTTTAAGGGACTCACCCTCGTCTTGGTGGATGTCGCCAAGGTGTGTACGGTCTTTTTGAGGCTTTATGTTGGCGGCGTAGTGACTCATAAAACGGTCGGCCAATTCTTCGAAGCTTCGGATCGAACCTGCGGGCAAGGCCACGAGCCATCTCTGGGCCGACCCCTTCAGAGTCGGCAAGAAGGCGCGGCACATGACTGGGTCCTTGACTCCTAGAACTTGTATTTTTGCCTGGTAGCTCAGAAGGTGCTCGCGTGGGTCGCTTGTCCCATCGAAAGTGGCTTGCTCCGGAAACTTGAAGTCACCAGGTATCCTGTACGCCATGATTTCGGCTGAGAAGGGCAAGGCAGTGAGTAACGTTCGACCTGGGGACTTGGTTTTGCCCTTTACTCGCTCCTTCAAATTGCGCAACTCTTGAGCCAGGTGAGCCACTTCACCAGTATTCCTAGTGTGATTTCCCGTGGATTCGGTACTCTCCTCGGCTTGCCGTTCCTCGTTACTAGCAGGCCTCTCGGCCTGTCGCACCCCAGTTCTGGTCCTTCTAGTACGTGTTCTCTCTCGGGTGGCCTCACAGTTCTGTTGGCCTGTCCGCGCGTGACTAGGTTCTCCTCCTCCCAGCCGTTCTCTCGCCGATCGACGCATTATATTTGGTCCTAGTCTTGAATCAACCGACCATGCCGGCGGATCCTCTGCTCTTCGATCCTCTCACCCACCTCTATCCGACCTTTGTGGTTGTGGATCGTGCGGTCGGGAGACTGACGACTCCTCATTTCTCGAGTCTCTGCAGCTACAGCACGAGCAATGGCCTGGATCTGTTCGGGAGTGAGAGGTATTATCGACGGAGGTCGGTTTCGAGGCGCCGAGTCATCTCCCTGACTCTGTGAATTTCGCTGGTTCAACTGATCTCTCAGGTCTGCTTCCGGTACGCCATTACAGCCAGAGGCGTGACTTCGTCCCTTAGACATTTCGCAAGATTCCTCGCTGCTGATCGCTCGTCTCTTTGCTCTGTCTCCGATTCTCCTCTCTATGCACAAGAACAGCCGTAACTTTTCGTTACGTCCCCACAGACGGCGCCAGTGTTGGTTTTAGGGTTTTTTGGGCCCAGGGAGGTCCAACATAACCTTAGTTGGTGGGTTCACCTTTCAGAAATAGAAGGGAATAAGGGCTTTTGTGAATATGGGTCTCTATTCTCTTGGCATGGATTCGCCCCCTTTTACAGCTTTTGAGGGGCCTTTTATAGTAGGTCTTCCTTGATTTTGATTTAGAATATACATTTAAGGCCATAATTGGCCGATTAATCACTAGTTATTCCTAAGGGCCGTTGGGCTGCCGTTAACAGGCCTCCCAACGGCTCTTTAACTGGGCTCTTTAACGCCTTCTTAAATGCGCCAACGGCTCTTTGCTTCTTGCGCCGACCGAGCACCCGCTCCGACCTCGGGGTCGGGCTGACTCCTTGACTCGGTCCCTGCTTCTCCCGGGCTTTAATTTCCTTCTTTTGGGCCTGGCATCTTCCTTTTCCTGGGCCACTCTTTGTTTCTTGGGCTTCTTCTCTCTTTCCCAGGCTTTGGGCCCGGGGTCCACACTCCATCAGCAGCCTAAAGAGTCAATATTCCTTCCCTCAAGCCTCAAGGAGAACCACAGAAATGTCTTCTAAACACAAGCTAGGTGCTTGGCTTTAATACTTAATTATTAAAAAAAAAATCTGAGTAATTTCACATTGAAAGATAAATAGTATTATATAGTATATTTATGAAGTAAACTTTAATTAGAGTGGCATATATTATATTTAATGGACTGCATAAAATCAAGTTAGTAAGCATTATGCGACGGCGGCATGTAATAGCCAAAGTAAAAAATCTTACGGTTGAAGTCTTGAAGAAGAAGAAGCAAATGAAAAAATGAATCAACTTACAATGAAAAGTTTTCACGTAAGACCTATATATATGTATGTAAGTGTAAAATTATTTACACATTAGATTTATTGGCTATTTTATTTAGTCATAGTTTGATTAGTTTTTAATTAAGCAATTAATTAGAGATGGTAGAATTTATTCTATTTTGGACCAATGTGATATCTAAGTATGTGGATGGGATGCATTGATGAATGAAGAAGTCAGCAACGCATGAAGTTGTTAAAGAAAGAAAAAGATGTGGCTGTGAATCATTCGAACAAATGAAGGCTATGATTAAGGATCACTAATGAGGCTTATCGTCTAGTATTTAAGGAAGTTGTTCGAAAGAAGAAGATTGCCAACTTTGTGATTAATATTCACGAGCGCACATCTGATTTACAAAAGCTTTCCATTTTAATGTGGTTTATTATTTAATTCTTAAGAATATTCAATCTGTACTACTTGATCAGTACGTGGTACTGCTGAAGCATCTTGTGAAGATTGTTCGGGTATTCGTGTGTCAATCCTGGATAGGTGTTAGAAAGAGTGGTAGTGGTAAAGGCTGGAGGCCATCTGTATTTACCTCTTGTATTACTCCTTTTGGTGAACATCTATAGTGGATTGGGTAGACGTGGGTTGCCCCGCAGACGTAGGAGAAGGAGCTCCGAACTGCGTAACAATTCTTTTGTGTTTTTACATTCTTTTATGCTTTCAGCTATCATTATTTACATTTGCTTAAACAAGTTTAATTAATGAACGTACTTAATGCATAATTTAATTAACTAGTAAAAAATACATTGCTTATTGTTTTTTAAGTCTCACGGTGCAATTTCAATGTACAAGTTCAAAAGGCATAACAAAATTAACGTAAGTGGACCGTGTCCATTTTCACTGTTGCATCGGAAAAATATAGGGTGTGTTTGGAAACCTAGAAAATGAGTTCTAGAAATCATTTTCCAAGTTTCCATTGTTTGGATGTGCCTGGAAAATCAAGTCAACGGAAATTATTTTCCGTTGACTTTGGAAAATAGGCTTGTTTTGGAGGAAAATGACTTCCCCTTTTTGGGGGGAAGTCATTTTCCAACTTTTACACCACACCACCACCATCACACCACCACCGCTACCACTACCAACACCATACCACCGCAACCACTACCACCACCAACACCATACCACCACCACCACCATACCACCGCAACCACCGTCGCCGCCGCCACCACCACCACCGTCGTCGCCACCGCCACCACCACCATACCACCGCAACTACCGCCACCACCACCACACCACCACTATCACACCACCGTCGCCGCCACCACCACCACCACCATACCACCGCCACCACACCACCACCACTGCCACCACCGTCATACCACCACCAGTTATTATTATTATTATTATTATTATTATTATTATTATTATTATTATATAACAAATAACACCACCACCACCACCATAATATTTTTGATATATTATAAGTTATTTTTTATTATATTTAAAATTATTATTATATTATTATATATTATTATACATGTTGTAATATTCTAAATAAAATAATTAAAATGTTTAATTATACAATTCTACTCATTTTCCAGAAAATGAACCAAACACACAAAAACAGTTTTTCATAATGCAATCAAACACTGAAAATGAAAATGTTTTCCGAAAAATTACTCATTTTCCAGAAAACATTTTCCAAAAGTCATTTTCCTGTTTTCCAAACGGACCCATAATCTCAGAACAATAAATTTTCCTCGTAAACTAATTCCAAGGTCAATATATGCAAGTTTTCTAATTTCAACGCTCTTTTCCTCGTAAACTAATTACAAGGTCAATATATGCAAGTTTTCTAATTTCAACGCTCTTCTCATCAAGTAAGCAGAGTTTTTAAGGTTATACACGAAACGTTTTATATTTGAGCGTGAGTATGTTTATAGTTTTATATATTTGCACGTAAATTTATTCATCAATTTATGAGTATTAAACTATATGGATTTTCATTATATATGTTAATAGTCCTTGAATTGATAGCATAATTGGATTCGGAGTAAGAGTGTTGCAATACGTTACGTAAAATTTATACTAAAAAAATCAAGTAGCTTGTAGTCCATTGGTATTGGGTTGCTCCCCTAAGTAGGAGGTGTAAGGTTCAAACCTCCATTGACACAATGGTGTGTATATGTAGGGTATCCCCTTATAAAACAAAAAATTATACTAAAAAGAGTAGTATATATATTTAAGTACAAGTGTTTATATATATATATGGGAAAATAACACTTTTTCCCTCTAAGTTATATACTTATAGCACTTTTTCCCCCTCAATTATTTATGTAAGCACATTAGCCCCCTCAATTATTTTAAAAGTGATGGTTTTTCCCCCTGATATATTAAATTGACATTTCTACCCTTAAAGTAAATATTTTATTTATTTTAGTTCTCCAACAAATTATTGTGTATATGTAGCAATGACCACGGTTCGGTTCGAACTGAACCGGACACTATAGCAATCGAATTAAAAGTTTCCGGTTATGATTCAGATCTAGAATCCAATATTTAGATTTCAATTTATTAAATTTATGAACCAAAAAAACTGGATCATGAACCGTGAACCGGCGGTTTCGGATCCGGTTCGTGATTTTGAACCGTCTTTATTTTAAATTTTATTTTATTTTTTATTTTAAAATAGTCTAAATTCAACAATAAATGTATTTTATTTTTTCAGTTCGGAACATGAACCGACCATTTCGATTTGCGATTTTAATAAACTCTAAATTTCGCGTTTTGATTCTAAATTGTAATTGGAATATTTTGGTTTGGTTGCTATAATATCTGTTTGGTTTGAACCAAATTATAGTAATAATTTGTTGGAGAAGAAAAATAAATGAAATATTTATTTTAAATATTTATTTTAAGGGTAAATATGTCCGGGGGGAAAAGAGTCACTTAAATAATTCAGGGGGGAAAAGTGCTATAAGTATATAACTCAAGGGGAAAAAGTGCCATTTTCCCTATATATATATATATATATATATATATATATATATATATATATATATAGAGAGAGAGAGAGAGGGTGACATTCACATGCAAACCACCTTAAAATACAAACGTGCAAACAAAAAATAACCATTAGATGTGATAAGATGAATGGACTAGATGGATTCCGAAGATGGGCACACGGATTGCTAACTTATAAACACAAGGGTAGAATAGTGAATGCAACAACCCACGTAAAAAAGGGAAACAGTTGCAGTTGTATACCATCCTATAATTAAGGGATTGTAATATTGGAAGGATTAGAACACACCACGTACACCGCAAAAGACTTCCGCGCCAGAAAAATCTTCTCCGACGTTCAATCATGGACGCCAGACCCGACTCCATCGACGACTCAAGCATCAGAAATCTCGACGGCAACTGCGACTCCATGGATGAAGCACCACCAGGTAATTACACTTGTATTCGAACGCTATTATTCAATGTTGACTCCATGTGTGTATATTAATGTTTGGGGCTTTAAAGTAGTGCAAATGTGCATTGCGACAGACCTGTAGGGTGGGGTATTGAATTATGTGAATTCAAATCTGCAAATAAAAATAATTAGTATGGCAAGAATAGAATGTTGGGGGTACGATTCGTTGAGATTAGTGAATACAATGCACACCGGCCGCCACTACTTGAATACAATGCACATTCACAGTTATGTTTGTTTTAAGATATGTAATGCAAATCTGCCACCCAACAAAAGAATGGAGAGAATACAACGTTCAGGGCGGGGTTCGTGCATATTAGTGGACCATGTGCACCCAGTTCTAGGCTAGCATGAACACCACTATCCATAGATTGGAAACATTGTGAATTCACATATTTGACAGATTTAACACATGTAATATTAACAATGCTGCCAGTCACAACCAATACTTGAATTTACGCAATTGAAGTGATACCAGTGCACCCAGTGATATGGAAGCATGCACACTAGCGACCATAGCTTGAAAACATTTCAAAATTTGACAGTTTAAATACATTTATATTTACAGTGCTAGCAGTCAATCAGGACTAATTATACTCGATTTCATGTAAAACACTCTTTTGAAATACAGGCAAGCAACATAGTGAAGCCGAACCAACGGAGTGCAACATGGTTGTATCATGCGGCACATGGAGAGTTATGTGGGGCAGGAGTGACCAGATGGAGATGTGGCCTTAGTAAAGGTAACACTACTCAGCTCAAGAAGTTGAGGTTGCGCTACATGAAGGAGATTGTAACGTCAGAGTACAACCTACTTAAGTGGTTCAATATCCGTCGGGCGTATGAGTTTGTTTCATCGCTCCCGTCGGGTCTGTAGTGGTGTTGAATTTTAATTTGGAATTGTTGTTAATTTGTTGTCGGTTACATTTTTTGCTTCGGTATACCGTTTACCGCTGGTAACTGTATTTTTGTTGTTGGAACCACTTCTAGTTCGGTATTTATTCATTGTTTTGCTATGTGGGAGTGCACCCATGTTCTGACACGAGATTTCAACATACTGGGTTATGGGAGCCCGATTGTTAGTTTAGTTCTACTAAATTTATGTTCTTAAAATCTTGGTTTTTCTTAAAATCTTAGTGTCCATTATGGTTTGGCTTTCGTATGAATATTTCAGTTTGGTATTCTAATTAAATACATTTCCCGGAGGTGGATGTTCAATATTACGTTCTGATGTTTGCGTTAAACTGTGTGCATGTAAAAATAGTTGATAAATTACCCAAAGGTGGCGGGTTCAATATTATCTTTACCTCCTCGGTTTTGAAATGCACGAGTGCACAAGTAACTATTTTTCAAGCATGGGTGGGTTTTTTAATTGTTGTGGTGGTCGAATCAAGCATGGGTGTTATTTGACCAAAATTAAACTCAAGTTAGTACTTTACTATTACCGTATAGGATTTACTCTCTATGTACACGTGTGCGCAATGATGGGTTTCAGTGTGCATGACTCAATGAAATAATTTAGTTTCCGTGAGTAGACTTTAAATTAGGGTAGTTTAATTTTAGTTCTATACGGGTATTGTTAAATTCGTGGCTTTAAATACTGTACGCAGACAACTGAATATATTTCAAAGATGGCTAAAAATAAGCTGACTAAACTATGTGTGCACATAGTTATTAAACAGTGTGCACGAGTCTACCCGTAGTTAGCTATAACTGTGTAGGCTTATTTATTAAAACTATGGCTGCGCAATGAAGGTAGATAGTGTGCATAGCTGAATAAATACCGAACTAACTACAAAGGGTGACTAAAAATAATAACTTTAAAATGAGATAGTATTCGTAGTGGTGTCGACCATGCCGGGCTACTCGTTTGGTATGCCTTTTCTGTCTGGACAATTCCTGCTGTCGTGGCCTGGGCGGTCACAGGTAGCACATGTCCTCACCTTTTTCTTCTGTTTCTCAATTGCTTTCTCTTTGTTGCTTTTTAATCTTTTCCCACTGCCCTTGTTCTTTGCTATGCTGGGTGACTTGATTTGTATCTCGGCAGGTGCAGTGGTGTTTAGTATTGATTCAATCACTAATTGTGGGATGTTGCTTGTTTTGGTTTGTTGTCTGGCACTTTGTAGCCTCCCTTTAAGCTCCCGCATTGTTGACAACATTATATCCATTACGTCTGCGCATCCATTAGCCAAACCCATGCAGTTGTAGAATTCATTCCAAAGTTGGTTGGCAATTGTTCGTAATTCATTCCCACCTTGCGTAGTACTGCATGCTTTCCACACGACGTTGTACATTGGCAGTGAGCATCCTCCTGTGGTGGTAGTTGCTGGGCCCTAGAATGGATAACCCTAGGCGGCGACACAAAGTCGCTATCATCATCAGATATTCCCGAAGGGCCAGCATCTAAATAGGCGCGCTTGGATCTTTTAGCTGCAAAACGAGCCACCACGGAAAAGTATATGGCCCACCAATAATTCCAAATAAGATTAAATAGCAGTAAAAACTATGCAAACACACCTGATTATAAAAATTCAATAACTATAAACACAATACAGCAAAGTCCGTATGAACCCCGTGCACCCACTGAGCAATACAGTGCACACCCAAAAAAAAAAAAAAAAAAAAAACAAATGCCACAAAGTATTCCTGCTCTAGTAAACAAAGTATTCCTTCCTCCCTTACTTCAAATATCCTATAGGAAGATCTACTCCACATTATTTTGAGATCTTGCTTGCCTGCAGCTTGCAGATCCCAAAAACAAAGTTGCCTACCTATTAAAGCTACCGGGAGAACATCCAAATATGAAGGTAAGATGGGTTATAATGATTCATGAATTTTTTTTCATGTATTAGAATACAAATAAAGTAATATAATGAACTTTATCATTCATGGAAGTATATATCTTTGCGGTGGCAGGTAATGTCAGCTGAAACATCCTATATCTTAGTGAAATTAATGAGTTTAAAAATGTCATATTAAAGGACCTTCCATCCCGGGCTCCAGGCTATTCTATGAAAATCTATGAAAATAATATGGTAAAAAAAAAAGTTGAGGAGAGAGATTGTTATAAGTAATAAAGAAAAGGGTCCTATGTGACCATTCAGGGACCATCCATTGCACGAAAGAGTCATGTTATCTTATTGAGGAAGAACAATGTGCGATGCAATGTGTGTATATTCTCAAAATCATAACATAGGCTACCATCCACACCAATCCACACATGAAAAAAGGGAACTCCAACCATTCATTCTATACTCAGACACTAAGAAATGATATAATAACTCACAACAACACAAATTTATTTAAAAAAAAAAAAAAAAAAAAAAACCAGCGAACACGCCACCAGTGTACCCCTCACCGTCAACCATAGCACACCACACCCACATCACACATGAACAGCTCGGATAACCATGGACCTAGAAATTTTGCATCCACCCTAATTTCAATTGCAACACCCACACCACAATTTATATATATATATATATATATATATATATATATATATATATATATATATATATATATATATATATATATATATATATATATATAAACTAAAAACTAAAAACCCGAACTGTTCCCCGCCACCCCCAACCCCCCGGTGAACCGCCGTGCGCCACCGCCCCACACCACAACCCCAGGTACGCTTATACCGGAACCACCATGCAGAACCATCAACCCCCCATCCGACAAGAAACAACTCAAACGCAGTGAAAAGAAAAAACGCAAACGAGCAGAAGGAACAAACATACCTCGACCTACACGATCAGCCGGTGCTCCCCGTCGCTTATCACCACCGCGGTCCCCATCGGCGTCCATCTCGAAAGTCGGAGGCGATCTACGGCGATCGATGGCGTGAGCGAATGGTAGAACCCTGATGTCGAACACAATAGAGAAACGTGCGTGGAATCTGCTGCCAAAGGACTCCTCACTTCCTCAGTCTATTAAGCCTACTAAAATTGAATCGGGAGAGCACAATGAAAAACCCATAAATGCCCCTATTAAAATACATCACGCGAAATTAACATAAATAATGTCAAAAATAAATTGAATAAATCTTGGACATCCAATCTCGAAATCCAACGATCCTAATAAATCCGCACGTTTGTATTTTAAGCCGTGTTTGTATTTGAATAGAACCCTATATATATATATATATATATATAGAGGGTTCTATTCAAATACAAACACGGCTTATATATATATATATATATATATATATATATATATATATATATATATATATATATATATATATATATATATATATATATATATATATATATATATATATATATATATATATAGAGGGTTCTATTCAAATACAAACACGGCTTAAATATATATATATATATATATATATATATATATATATATATATATATATATATATATAGTTTTACAGTAATTTGGATCGTGAGATCGAAATTCTCTATCTTACCCGGTTTCCCAACCTCCATGATTGCGAAGTGAGAGTTGGCCTACAACACTAGGGTTACTGAGTTAGACAAGTTGCCCTATAACCCCATCAATACTATACCAATGTGATCTAAAATTATATAAAAGCCAATGATAGTAAGGATCTAACAAGAATAAAAAATGGGTTTGTGTAATTAGTTGTAATGTTATAGCTTACTTTATTGTACACTTACAATCTTTCCAATTTTACCCTTTTTTCTATTCTCCTCTAAATTGTAAATGTTATTATGTAGGAAAAATGGTTAAATAGGCCCTGAACTTTACTCAAAAACACTTAAACTTTCAAAGGTTGCAATTAAGCTCTTAAACATGTTGATTCAAAGCATTGAGGCTCAAAAATCGGTTAGTGACCTATAGTTATAGGTTACTAGGGTTCTGGCGTGGCTCCAACCATATTACGGCCAAAATCACTGGCGAAACATTCGCCAGTGTGGGTTGGTCTCCTTCTTCGGCTACTGGAGAAGGCGACCAACACACACCGGCGATCGTTTCACTGGTGTTTTTGGCCAGAGTATGATCGGAGGTCCGCCGGAACCCTAGTGACCTGTAATTACAAGTCACTAACCGGTTTCTAAGCCTCAATGCTCTAAGTTAACATGGGGACGTTATGCCATGGAACCGTGTTCACCATTCATGGTGAACACGGTTCCACCGGTGTTAGTACACCGTTATCTTCTTTTTTTTTTCTTAATTAATTGCGTGACTTTTCTTCTTTATTTTCACATTTTGCGGTTTTACTTTAATTTGAGGTGAACAAAGATTTCGGACATTCATAAATTATTAATTCATGCCTGCACATTCACTTTGGAACCATGCCTACACATTCCCGTCCGAAATCACGGACATTCATAAATTATGAATCCATGCCTGCACATTCACTTTGGAACCATGCCTACACATTCACTTTGGAACCATGAGATTATGAATTTTCTGTTATAAGATTATGAATTTTCTGTTATGAGATTATGAATTTTCTGTTATGCGATTATGAATTTTCTGTTATGCGATTATGAATTTTCTGTTATGAGATTATGAATTTTCATTACATTCATAATTTCGGACATTCATAAATTATGAATTCATGCCTGCACATTCACTTTGGAACCATGCCTACATATTCCCGTCCGAAATCACGGACATTCATAAATTATGAATCCATGCCTGCACATTCACTTTGGAACCATGCCTACACATTCACTTTGGAACCATGAGATTATGAATTTTCTGTTATAAGATTATGAATTTTCTATTATGAGATTATGAATTTCAGTTGTGAGATTATGAATTTTCTGTTATGCGATTATGAATTTTCTGTTATGAGATTATGAATTTTCATAAAATTCATAATCTCATAACAGAAAATTCATAATTTGATCAAACGCGCGCCGTTAACTCCACATCCGCGAAATTTTTTTTTTTTTGCCTAAAAACGACGTCGTTTTGCCTTGTGTTCACCATTCTCGGTGAACACGATTCCATGGCATAATTTGCGGTTAACATGTTTAAGGGCTTAATTGCGTCATTTAAAAGTTTAAAGACCTAATTGACTTCTTGAGTAAAATTTATGTGCCATTTGACAATTTTTCCTATTATATACAATAACATACATATTATGCTTACTTTCTTGTATATTTTGATTATTTTCAAATATGTTTTAATTTTACATTTCTTATTTACTTATAATATATTGATTATTATTTTTATTGCATTTTTCTCATTATAACTTTACTACGGAGTATTATTTTTCATTTAATACTTATTCAACCATACAATGCCTGAAGTATGACAAGTATACATACAAAGTATTTTAATTATTCAATTCGGAGTTAATATATAATATATAATATAATAATAATGGAGTTAAGTGTGAGTTAGTCATCATCAAAAATCAAAATATCGAAAATATATATAGTAAAAGTTTGACAAACCAAATCAGGCTTATTGAATTGCAGGAGGTTACGTACTTAGGAGTTAAATCTATGATCTTGATGGACAGAGGGCTTGGACTGAAGACGTAGTTGATGTGTCTAGGTGGAACTTTTTCTTTGACTCTCAAACTTTGAATTGAAGTTTGAACATGTCAACTTTTGTTTTCTTCAATGAAGAAGCAAAGTAACATACGAAAGAGCGAAGAAAGTTGAAATGTCGAAGAAAACAAAAACTTGACACGTTGCAAAATTCATGGGAATCGGTTATCACATTTTCCGGTATTGACTACGAGTTTCTGTTGAGATATTTAATGATATTAATCATCTATATTAATAGTCATGTGTCTCTTGAATTTTCTATATGTCTCTTAGATTTCCCATGTGTCTCTTGTCAATCAAAAGAGTTCATGAGAATGCTTTTGAATCTTTTGAAAACTTTCACTTTACATAGTGAAGTAATACATTACTACTATACGTTGTGTCGATGTATGTACACATTATGTTATAAATGTAATTGTGAATGTTGCATGTTATATAAGAACTAAGGAGCAGTTTAGAACCATGACAATGTCAGCACACATCATGCATGTTTCAACCTAAATATGCATGAAGAACTTCACGTTTATGTTAAATTTTAACTTTTTTGTTGAATATTTTACAAATTATATTTTAACAAAAGTTTTTTTTAAAATAAATATAACATTTTAATTTTATATTTACACTTATAAAATTAAGAAAAAAAAAGAAAAAAAAAAAGAAGGGGGGCTCAAATTCAATTATTAAAACATGACTCCTATTTAATTTTTAGATCGGTCCTAGTTGAGAAAAGTTGTTTTGTTAGTAACTGCATGATGCAATATTTGAAATGCAAATTGTGAATTTATTGA